TCCGGGTCATTGGGAACCCCCGGTCGCTATATGATCGAGATGATGGACATGGAAGCAAAAGTTGCTTGTTTTAAAACTTCCCAGCAGCCACACAACATCATAAAACGTTAATATGAAGGGCCAAAAACCTGATATCATTGAGAGTCGTGGGCCGAAGATACACATACCAAACTAAACTACAAAACATCATCACATTTACAACACTGTGGAGTTCAATGCTGAATACACTAGTCCAGTTTACACATGTGCTGTAGGTGAATTGAGTAGGCTACATTGGCCATAGTGTATGTGTGTGAATGAGAGTGTATGGGTGTTTCCCAGTGTTGGGTTTTGGCTGGAAGGGCATCCGCTGCGTAAAACATATGCTGGATAAGTTGGCGGTTCATTCCCCTGTGGCAACCCCTGATTAATAAAGGGACTAAGCCGAAAAGAAAATGAATGAATCTCTAGACCAGGGGTGGCCACCCCTGCTCTAGACCAGTGGTTCTCAAAGTGGGGGTCGGGACCCCTTGAGGGGTCGCGGAACAATGAAGGGGGGTGGCCTGGTGATTTCCAAAAATCTACTTATTATTATTAGACCATAAGAATTACCATATTTTATCCATAACCTACTGAAGAGAAAAAAAACAGTCGTTTATAGTTACTATAGTAGCTTATTTACTTGTTCTATTGGATTGTGACCCCTGGGGTAAATACATTATATTAAAGACACAGCAATAGCGTCAGATGCAGCAGATTGATTTTATAACACCAGGTTAAACTTTCTGGCCCATTTACAGCACTGAAATACATTTAAAAAAATAAACGAAGAATAGACTTTGGTCTATTGGTGTGTGTGTGCGCCATTGCATGCAAGTTTTCTGTATTTATAACCACCTCAGGGGATATTGGGGGTCGCGAGTCACTGGCATTGTGATTTTAGGGGTCGCATGCTGAAAAGTTTGGGAACCCCTGCTCTAGACCATTGTCAGATGGGATGGCGGGCCAAATCAAAGGCCACCATGGGAAACTTTTGATGAAACCATAGCTTATGATTTGGATAAAGATTTCAATCAAAGATCCAAACGCTTCAAATCTCATTGTCAAAATTAGCATTGTGGTCCACTTGAGATTACTCTTGAAGGAATTATATTATGACATGTGTTCTAACCCTGGATGTAAATAGTGTTTTTATTATATTTTTATTTAACCTTTTTCTTATTATTTCTTATTTTTCTTTGCTCTTTATGCTGTTTTTCATTTTATAATTTACAAAATTTGAGTACTACTAGGTAGTAAATGCACCTGAAAATAATGTACATAATTTTTATACCACCTACAGTAAGTTCACATACTGAGATTCCAATGTACCTTGAAATGTTGTTTGACTGTACTCAATTGAATGTTCAAAATAAACATAAAGTTACAAAAAAAAAATAATAATTAGCATTGTGGAATAGGAAAGACTTGTGGCAAGTTTTGCAACACCTTTATATCCAGCCTTGATTTCTTTAACCAGTTGAAACCTGCACCAAAGGAAGACTTGAGTCTCTACAGTCGTTTCTTCTCCTGCAACTGCAAGACTGCACAAGACCACAGAGTATTTATCAGAATTACCAAACCCTGTTAGCTGTCTGTTGAAAACAACAAAAAAAAGCACTTTTAAGTTTCTAAGGGCCCCTCGTCAGCAAGAATCGTCACAAAATCCCCTGTCGGACAGAATGCTGGATCATCGGAAAGATTAATCTAAACTTGCATTGTTCAAATTAATTCAGAAAGCAACACGTTGGATCTTGTAAGCGCGATTCGACAGTGAGTCTTAGATATGAGTGATTCAGGTCTATTTCCCCACCTCAGAGTTGCTTAATTGACTCTTTCTAATTATAGACTTGTCAGACTTTTATTTACCTCATTTGCTTGGTTTTCCCTGACTCATGCCTTAGCTATGTTGACAACGAGACCTGCCTTTACCAGCAAATTTAACCGTAAGATGTTTAATTACTATAACTCCAAATTAGAAACACTTGAAGAGTTCAGATGCAAAACCCTCTAAATCCATCAGAGCTCTTTTCTTGTAAATGAGCATTTTCTATCAGGCTCCTCTGATTAGGTTTAGAAGTTTCATTTTATATGTAATGATGAGGTTATTAGCTAAATAAAATATCTCTTTTCATTAATGTCACTGTAGACAATTCTTTGCTTTTTAACAAGGGAGATTTATTTTGCATCAAAACCAGCAAAATCCACATCTGCTTTTTATGCACAAACCTCTAAATCCACATATTGAGACAAGACAGTGTATTTAGTTGAATAAAATCCCTAAAGATGCAAATTAGAGATTATTTTACCAAACATAAAATACATTACACAAACCACCTGAAATTAAAAATACATCTGTTAAGTAAGTGGCGGTTCATCCCGCTGTGGTAACCCCTGATAAAGCAGGGACTAAGCAGAAGGAAAATGAAAGAATGAAATGTGTCAAGTGCATTAATCAATAACATTAAAACTGACTTGAATTAAATCTTTATCTGTTGTAATTTTTGATGTTTGGGATTTGGATTTAGGGCTCTATTTTGACGGTCCATGCGCAGGGCGCAAAACGCAGGGCGCAAACGCTTTCAGGGCGTGTCAGAACTCATTTTTGCTAATTTACGGATGGGAAATCTGCTTTGCGCCAAGGCGCATGGTCTAAAAGGGTTGAGTTTATTTTCTTAATGAGTTATAGGTGTGTTTTGAGAATAAACCAATTAGAGTCTCCTCTCCCATTCCCTTTAAGAGTCAGCTGCGTCGTGCCAAGAGCGCATTCGCTATTTACAGGACGCAAAGTAAGTCTAAGTGGAAAAAATGAGCATTTCACAAGCAAACAGTTAACAGTTTTTTTAACAGAAAACAGTTAAACAGAGCATCTACTGCCTGAGAATGAGAGATAATGGATCACTTTCACTTTCGCCCTTGGATGGGGAAACCTTTACGCACAGACATCAATTAGTCTATAAATAATTAATTTTGTTTGTTAAGCGCAAATATTTGTTTCAAAACTATTTCTAAATTCAGTTCTAATTTCTAGCAAACGAATAAATGAACAATAATAACCAAGTGTGCTCAAAAACCTGAGTTATTTCCAAATACACCTGCCATACCCCATATGGTCTAAAACCTGACAGGTGGGCAAATCTAAGCTTGTTTTTAATGAAGCAAATATAAATATGAATTTAATAAATAATACTGCTAATAATTATAACATTAAAAAACAAAAGCAGATTGTTATGAATGAACTGAAAAAGCCTCCCGAGATGAAGAAGACATAAAAGCAGTGATTTTTCATATTTATGTAGGCTAGAAAATAATATGTTTTGTAATATTTTAATCCTTTATATTTATATCCTATATCTATTCTTATTATATCCTATATATATCCTTAATATTTACATTTTTTCATATGTAAAGATATTTGCCTATTGCTCTCTTGTGCGTATTAAGCAGTGCGTAAGCGAGGCGCAACTCTGCGCCGGAGTTTAGACCGGGTTAGTTTTGGTCTAATGAAAAATCTATTATAGTTTCTCAAAATAGCAACGTGCCAGCGGTCCACCTCAGAACGCCTTCCTTTTTACACCAGAACGCCTATGGGCGCACAAATGAGCACTAATGCATTTGCTATTTAAACAGCGTAGCGCAACGCCTCAAAACCACTCTTGTGCCAAGCTGAAACTACCAAAAGACTACTGCGCCGCGCCACACAGCGCCAGGTGTATGATAGGGCCCTTAATGTATAGAGCAACGTAAACAAGCTTGTTAGAGTCAAATAATGAAGTGTAAAAACATTGTGAAACATCAATATCTGTGCATTGTCCATTACTAAAAAAATAATAATAAATTATTGAAGTAATATAAATAATGTATAGTTTTACACATTGTTTATCTTTTAAAACAGCTTGCATTAGAAAATAAAACACAAGGAAGGCCTACAGTGGAAAAAGAGAGGATGTCTCTCGGAAGCTGTCGTTTATTTATCCTCACTTTACTCAAGATCTCTTTTTCGTCTCTTGTTTGTCCTCCATGCGGGATAAAAGAAGGGCATCTTAACTTTGTCTTTCCTGAAATGGAGTTCCCGTTTAATGTATAGTAAATTGGACTCATTTAAAGTAGCGCCGCTGCGCAAAAACATGTTATGAATGCAGGCTACACTTCCGATTGTACATTGTGGTTTCTTTTTCATACAGAGTATTTAGGTAAGGGACGTTTTCATTTGCCATTCACTGCCACTCAGCAGTGTGTTATATTCTCAGACTGCATGTGTGGGAGTATACTTGCAGTAGCAAGTCTCAGAACTTGCTCTGCCATAATAAGCAAAGCAGCAGCAGCAGCGTAGCAGATTTATTACACAAAGACCAAACACATCAACAATTCAATATACAGTTGAAGTCAATATTATTTACCCTCTTGTGATTTTTTTTTTTTTGTTCATTTTCAAGTATTTCCCAAATGATGTTGAACAGATTCAGGAATTTTTCACAGTATTTTCTATAATATTTTTTCCTTCTGAGAAAGTCTTATTTGTTTGATTTCGGCTAGAATAAAAGCCGTTTTTAATTTTTTTTAAAAGTATTTTAAAGTCAATATTATTAGCCCCCTTAGGCATGATTCTTTTCTGATTATCAACAGAATAAACCACTGTTATACAATAACTCGCCTAACTTTACCCTAATTAACCTGGTTAACCCTTTAATTGTCACTTTAAGCTGAATACTAGCATCTTGAAACTATCTAGTCAAATATTATGTACTGTCATATTACATCAGCTATTAGAAATGAGTTATTAAAAATATTATGTTTAGAAATGTGTTGAAAAAATCTTCTTTACATTAAACTAAAACTTAATAATTCATCATTAAATATAAATAAATATATTATTCTATTATTACATATAATAATTCAGGAGGGCAAATAATTGTGACTTCAACTGTATTACCAAAATAAATCTACAGAACTGTAGTAACTCCTGTTTTCTCTGTTTTCAGCCACCAGAGAATCAGCGTTCGTGCATGCTATAGCCTCGGCGGGGGTAGCCTTCGCTGTGACACGGGCTTGTGCGGAGGGCTCAGCCACAATCTGCGGCTGTGACAGCCGGAGGAAAGGACCGCCGGGCGAGGGCTGGAAGTGGGGTGGCTGCAGTGAGGATGTGGAGTTCGGCAGCATGGTGTCCCGAGAGTTTGCTGATGCCCGCGAGAATCGCCCTGATGCCCGCTCTGCTATGAATCGACACAACAATGAAGCTGGACGTTCGGTAAAAACACTATTGAAAGCATTTATCTGCATGTTTACACTATTCGCTAAATTAGCAAATAAAATATGCGCAGGTGTGATCTGGCTTAATCCTTAAAATCGTAAACTGATTACAAGTCATATTCATTCATTTACCTTCGGCTTAGTCCCTTATTTATTAGGGTCACCACAGTGGAATGAACCGCCAACTATTCCGGCTTATGTTTTACCAACACAATCTCACGGCAATTCGTAACTTTTTCATTTAGTGGCTAATTCGTATGAATTCGTACGATCTAATTCGTACTATTTAGTACGATTTTCTTATCCCCCAATGACGGTTGGGGTTAGGGGTGGGGTCAGGTGCCACGCCTCCTTTTTAAAATCGTACCATTTCAAACGACTGAACTCGTACGAATTCGTACGAATTAGCCACTAAACTGGCAAAACGTAAAATACTTACGTTTTTTTGTGAGATCAGGCTGGTTTTACGCAGAACTTGCCCTTCCTGCTGCAACCGAGTACTGGGAAACACCCATACACTCTCACCTTCACACACACACTCATACACTATGTCTGATTTAGTTTATTCACTTACAATACATCCAAATACAGCACTCAGATGAATATCCTGTTTTCCTTTTTCCTCTAGTCAATCACTGACCACATGTACCTGAAATGCAAGTGTCACGGGCTTTCGGGCAGCTGCGAGGTGAAAACCTGCTGGTGGTCTCAGCCGGACTTCCGGGTGATCGGCGACTACATGAAGGACAAGTACGACAGCGCATCGGAAATGGTGGTTGAGAAACATCGGGAATCCCGAGGTTGGGTTGAAACCCTACGGCCAAAGTACCCCTACTACAAACCACCAACAGAAACCGACCTCGTCTACTATGAAAGCTCGCCCAACTTCTGTGAACCCAACCCAGAGACCGGTTCCTTCGGCACACGTGACCGTACATGTAACCTGACGTCGCACGGCATAGACGGCTGCGATTTGCTGTGCTGCGGCAGAGGTCACAACACTCGAACTGAGAAGCGCAAAGAAAAGTGCCACTGCATTTTCCACTGGTGCTGCTACGTGAGCTGTCAGGAGTGTACGCGAGTCTACGATGTTCACACCTGCAAGTAAAACCAAAACCAGATTAGACACATGTGAACACGCAAGGGAGCCTTTTCGCTGAAACTTGTAGACGGAATTTGTGGACATTCACAAACAGAGAAAAGGTGGACCTTCAGTAAAGACAACAAGAAAAACCCATAGAGGCTTTGTTCTTCACCCGGGGGCATTGTTGAGGCCAAATGGCGGACTGTGGCTAAGCTTTTGCAAGGGACTAATCGTTTCCAGTCTGATAAGTGATGGATCAGATTACTAAAGACTCTGGCCCTTGGGACCTCCACCAATTGTGTCTCCAAGAAAACAGGAGAAAACCTTTGAAAGGGAAGAGGTTTTTACGGCACGTGGCGGCAAACTCCGACGGGAGATCTCAGTAATAAACGCTGCATAAACAGACTACCAGGGTTTGCCCACAGGTGCCTTTGAAATGTGGTGATTAACTATAGCCTTACTACTAACACCATTAAAGAAGCTATTTTTATCCTTTGTGCATTCCAACAAACCGGCAAACATCCGATTAACAGCATATATTATTACACGTGATGTCTTTGTTTGCAAGACCAACACTGGGTTTATGTATTAGCTTGAGTTTAGAGTAAGTTACTAATACTAGGTTATGAATGCACTTGTGCCTGGGTGAATGTCGAAGCGTTGTTTATGTTTTCCTGATACGATTTTGAAACTCCTCAAACATGTCTAGACCTCTTCTAGATGATGTCGTTTTGGCTGCTTAACCCCTAGCCTGGACTGCTTGAGTCCAGCTTGCTCCGCGTTTCTGTTCGCACTGTACGTTTGGGTCCAAACTGTGGTACATTTGCATTAGCAAAGCAGCAGCTGTTTATCCCCAGCTTCATTCCAGCACAGAGCAGCGCTTGCGTCTGTTGCAAATGCATTGCGAAGCTCCCAAAGTAAAAGCATTGAGTCAGTCCCGTTTGACAGAAAAGTGTGGAAGCTACTGATCTATTTACATATTGTTCATTATTTTACACATATTGCCTATTTCGGTTACAGTACAGTATATTATGGTACGGGTCGACCTAATCAGGCTTGCGTTTCCACTGCCAACAGTACCCTTACTTGGTAGCACAGGTGCGGCTAGGGGGAGGGGGAGTTAGGACGATTCTAAAGTCTGGTTTATACTTCTGCGTCGAGTGGTGGGCGTGACCCACGGCTCAAGCCTTGCACGTAGCCGTGCATTAATACTTCTGCGCGCAGTTTCTGTTGCTCTGCAATACACTTCCGAAACGCTAGGTGGCAGTGAGGTGTTTATCTTCCTCTGTGTCAAGTTTCTTCGCTGGTGTTTGTTTTTTTTCTGAACGCTTCCTTAATGTACAAGTGACTCAAACTCACTCATATTGAGGCAGGAACCGGCGGACGTGCAACAATTTAATTTTACCCATGAGGTAAACACAACGTCTGGAGCTCCTCTACACTTGTTAACACCCGCTGCATCACGCTCACATGACTCTCACCTCTGCCCACACACGTCAGCGCTTCCTAGCCAACCAATCACAGAGCTTGCGCTACTCACACGTGTTACATTTTTGGAGAGGTGCACGTCAGCGACGCCGACGGGCTATAGGGCTATGCGTTGTAGCATACGCGTGCGCTTGACGCAGAAGTATAAATCAGCCTTAAGGGCCCACACCATTTTGGGGTCTCCATAGTTACTATTAGGGGCCCAGCAATCTCCCTTTACTCTTTACTTTTGTCTGCGACACTCGCCTAACCCCAAATAGAGAAAGGAAAAGGCATCTCTTGTACTTTCCGCAAATTTTGAGATCCAATATTTGAACTTCATAAACAACACTAGAGGACATACTGATCCTGTTCTTGCTGATTGGCATGTTGCTGGTGCCACGCCTCCTTTTTAAAATTGTACGTTTTCGAATGACTCATACGAATTAGCCACTAAACTGACAAAACGTAAAATAGTTACATTTCCTTGCGAGATCAGGCTAGTGACATCATAACAAATAATAATGTAATGACAAATAACATGGAAAATTCTAAAATCGCCTCAATCACGTCTTCCATTAAGCGGGAAAATCACGTAAGGCGAAAAAACATCCTGTTAGTTATTTGGAGCTAGTGACGCAATGACGAACAATAATAAATAAAACACAAATAACATCAGAAATGCAGAATTCGGCTCAATTGCATCTTTCATTGAGCAGGAAAATCCAGTGAGGCGAAAAAAATCCTGTGACTAATGTGGAGCTAGTAACACCCAACGCAATCTCACGGCAATTTGTAACTTTTTGATTTATTGGTTAATTCGTATGAATTTGTACGATCTACTTTGTACAATTTAAAATGATTTGCTCATCACCCAAAGATGGTTAGGGTTAGGGGTGGGGTTAGATGCCACGCCTCCTTTTTAAAATTGTACATTTTCGTATGACCGAATTTTTATAAATTCGTACGAATTAGCCACTAAACTTACAAAACGTAAAATAGTTACATTTCCTCGCAAGATCAGGCTAGTGACACCATAACAAATAATAATGTAATGACAAATAACATGGAAAATTCTAAAATCGCCTCAATCACATCTTCCATTGAGCGGGAAAATCACGCAAAGGGAAAAACCATCCTGTTAGTTATTTGGAGCTAGTGACGCAATGACGAATAATAAAAAATAAACAGAAATAGCATGAAAAATTCGAAATTCACCTCAATCACATCTTCCATTGAGCAAGGAAATGGCGTAAGGCGAAAAAACATCCTGTGAGTTATTTGAAGCTAGTGACGCAATGATTAATAATAATAAATAAAACACAAATAACATCAGAAATGCAGAATTCGGCTCAATTGCATCTTCCGTTGAGCGGGAAAATCCAGTGACGTGAAAAAAAGTCCTGTGACTAATGTGGAGCTAGTTACACCTAACACAATCTCACGGCAATTTGTAACTTTTTGATTTATTGGTTAATTCGTATGAATTTGTACAATCTACTTTGTACAATTTAAAATGATTTGCTCGTCACCCAAAGACGGTTAGGGTTAGGGGCAAAACGCCTCCTTTTTAAAATTGTACATTTTCGTATGACTGAATTTTTATAAATTCGTACGAATTAGCCACTAAACTGACAAAACGTAAAATAGTTACATTTCCTCGTGAGATTAGGCAGGTGATAAAATCATGTGAGGCGGAAAAACATCCTGTGAGTTATTTGGAGCTAGTGACGCAATGACTAATAATAATGTAATACCAAATAACATGGGACATGGCGAATAACATGAAATGCATGCGACACAGGATTTACCTCTATTGCATCTTTCGTAGAGCGGGAAATTCACATGAGGCGAAAAACATCCTATGAGTAATCGAGAGCAAGTGACAAGAGTTTTGCATCTAGAGTAAACCCAAGCCAATGTTGGGTTTCCTAAGCTAGCAAGTGTGCATATGGATTGATAACTTGGTACGTTTGACAGTGGAAATGAACATAAATGCGTATCTTACTTAACCGAAGAGTATCTTTTAGCGGAAAAAATTCGACCAAATTGTTCACCATCAACACTAGTATCTTCAGTTCAAATGAATCATATCCCACAGCAGCTTAATCTCAGGTTCATTTCTCGAGCACAGACTTGAGTTCTGAAACAAACCAAACACAAGCGCAGTGTTCACCTGGCGGAAAAACTATATATTCAAGCGAACACACACAGATGTCAGCACTTCTATCTTGAAATGGAGCGTGATATTCATTCGCCTCAATCGTGTGTGACAGTATTATTGATGTTTCAGACAGAAAAGTCCAAAACATTTCAGAATCAATATACAAGGTGCCTTTAATCAGTAGCCGAAACACTTTACTACATGCAGGGTCTAACTATTAGAAACTATTATTATTATTATTATTTAATAGATAATAATACCAACACAGTATCATGGCGAGTATATTGTCTCAGACAGGGCCGGCCCAAGCCTTCAGGGGGCCCTAAGCAGGATTTTATTTGGGGCCCCCTTGGTGCAAACAATATGACAAATTATCATCAATCCTTGATAATTCGCACACTATAAATTTAAAACACAAATAATCGATTTTATTCACTGTAGCTGTGTTGCTTACATCATAAAATATATGTTTTAAGACCATTCTAAATATTATTCTGCAGAAACAACTTCCTATTGATCCAACTTTTTATATGACTACTTGCCACAAATCTAAATAATTAGACACAAAACATTAATAAGCAAATATCTATTTAAATTTAAATCAAATTAAATGAAGGAAGGAAGTATTTTTTAGACATACTCGCATATCAATCAAATTACTAAATATGTACAAAAATTGTTCAGTTTTCAGAAATAAATCTAAATTAAGTGAATTTTTTTGTAAAACAAATTAATCTGCCAATGAGATAAGTAAAATAATCTTATTTAAAACCTAAAACAATATTTTTATTTACCCTATTTGGCAGATTATTGAGCTTTTTTTAATGAAAAATTCACATTATTTTGACTAAATATCCTTCTAGAAAATGCTTATTGGTTTAAGAATTTTTAGATATTTGGACTAAAAATCACACAAAAACTATAAGAAAAAAAAAGTTTTGCAGTGTATTTAACAACTGTCAATTTAATAAATCAGAAGCTTATTTTTTTAATCGCCAAGTTCATAAAAAAAGCATTTTGCTGCTTACGGGAAGCGCCACCTGGTGGCGGCTGGGTGTACTGTAGCTAAAGCGGTTATCTGCTGCAGTCAGTGTGAAAAAACTGATTAATTAAATCAGATCTTTTGTAAATTTAAGTAAATATCTTGGCGCCTGAGTATGTATCGCGGTCAGAAATAACACTATAAATGGGCATATATTTTGTCCCACCACTAATCCACAACTCAACAAACTAAAACGAAAGTCACACAATAATTTCAAGCACTCTTGGGGGCCCCCTGGTGGCCACGGGGCCCTAAGCAGCCGCTTAGTTCGCTTATGCCTTGAGCCGGCTCTGGTCTCAGATATTCGCCCACCATTTTGGAACTACTAATATTTTTAGTTCAATATAGGTTTTCGGCAATTATTGTAGGTTTTGTTTCAGTTTTTAACATTTATATTCGCAATCGTAACACTCGTACGTGAATCCATGACCAAAATTAATGTGTTTTTTTTTTTCTAATCTTTTCCCCTATGTGAACGTTAGCAGCAGCAGCGCAGACGCTTAATGAATTACCCTCATTTATAATGCTGCTAACTAATAACAGGTCTGTTGTTATATTTATGTGTCTCTCTGTGCAGATCTACTGCAAGCGTCTCCGTGTTTGTTGTCTGTGTATGTGCATGAGTCTCTGTTTTCTTCTTTCTGTGAAAGACACTGTGTAAGCATAGTCACGAACTAAAATGTGAAGTTTTCTAGTAATGGATTCCTGATAGAGAGTTTGTATTCGTTAACCAAATAGGTATACTCTAACACGTCTGCGTGACCTTCGGAACAAAATATGGTATGAAAAATGAGATGCGTCGAATGTGGTGTTATTAAAAGCCACGCTATAGCATTGAAAACTGATGTATGAGCAATTTTCTCAAGAAACGGTATTTATGAGTAGCAAACACAATATTTGAACTAATATAGCAGGAAAATGTGAGAAGGTGATGATTAAACACCAGTTGTCAAAGATTTTCTTTTTTTTTAAATAAAAACAAATCATGGAAAC